CCCCAAAACCCCAAAACCCCAAAACCCCAAAACCCCAAAACCCCTACTCAATTTAAGAGTATTGAAAATTTATAATTAGACTTCTAAACAATGCTTGATCAGTCTAACAATTTTGAAGCATCAAAAGTAATTGTGAGATAAAGAGAAATTCAGAGATTGATGAGGAAAATCTTCCATAGAAAGCTAAAATATCAAACTGTCAATATCTGAGCAAGGGTTCGAAGCAAACTTACCGTTTGGAGACTAAGCCAAACTCAAGGGTCATCGAAAAGGGCCCCAAATTTCTCTGCATTATGTGCCATCTAGAAAAGGAAGGCTTGCTCCAATCATAGCACCACAGGCTTTGCCTTGATGCTGATCGCAATGCATGCACTTTCTTCGTTTCAAAGTTGAGGAAGGAACTTAGAAGGACCAGCCTAGACAGGCTCTAGAGTAGCAGATAGTTTTATCCTAACAAAGGCCTCAGAACATCCTAAATGCATAGTCAAACGAACCTGAACTAATATATAATACGGATGCCTTGCAAGCCCAATAACCCAAATTATTTTAAAATTCGCTTACAAAGATAAGAAGCCAGATCAATGAACAAATAAGGACTATATAGCAGGAAAGTCAAACCACTGCAAAGCCAACTTGCTGGGTCCCTGAGAAGGGAAGTCGTATAGTCTTGGGTTCCTGTTCTGCCTAAGCTAGCCAATTATCATGATTCAATATGGCTTTATTCTTTCAAGAAGTTTAAATTTCTTACCCAAAATACCTTTTGATTGCCATAGCCTACGATGAACAGCCTAGGTGCATGGAATGGCAGATTGGACTCACTGGCTGTTTTGCTTTTGTTTGGAGAGTTTGAGATTTATTTTAGAGTTTAGATTTCCCCATTTTGGGCCAAATTAAGTGTTATAAATTCATCCTAGTCCTCTTCACTATTGTAGAACTCTGTGTGCTTGCTCTTAACTGAAATGCTGCAGAAAGGACTGAGGGGTTGATCTGAGGTGGGAAAAAGAAGGATACAACCAATAGGATTTTTAAGTAAAAGATCATGGATTTGCTCTCATATTAAAAGATTCTCAATAACGATTTTTCTCCTGACCTTTGGTATAATTGCTCGAAAGAATGATAAGTGAAGGGAATTACTTTCAATAGGGTTCCTGCATTTAGCTTTGAATACTGATATTTCTTCAGGAATGTTTTCTTTTACTATCTTTATAATATCTTTTAGTTCTTGGGCTTTAAAAGCATCGAAATCGGCTATACACTTACACTTAAAGACTTACTAATAATAACTTGAAAATTATCATTCTCTGGATACTGATAAGGTCTGATTAGCTTTATTAACTCTCTGTCTTGCTCTTCATATCCTCTCAAATGGAATATAGGCGGTTTATCTACAAACAAGTCTGTTTTATAGATCTTTTTCAATAATACCTCGATTTCATACTTATCAGATCGCCAAACAACACATTCATTCAGCGTTGTCAGCTCTTTTTTGTATTTCTCAAAAGCAAGCTTAGATCTATTTACACAGCTGTATTAGCAGCTTGCTCCAAGTCCTGTATTTCCCATAGAATGGAAGAATATTACAGCATATGCTCAATGTGATCCTCGAATTTCCTGCAGTAGAACCCATAATAATAAACTCAGATTGGATTTAAATACCAACTTGGTCGTGCATTTTTAAGACAGAATCTCAAAATCTTTTGCCAGAAATGATACAAAATTGTAAATTATAGCCTCAAATTTCTAGTCAGATGCAAGCGTTCCTGTCTTAGACTAATTCTTTACATAAACAAGTCGAGATAACTCTTTTTGGTTATAGTTTCAATAAAATCCACATATAAAGGGGTTTTGGGGTTTTGGGGTTTTGGGGTTTTGGGGTTTTGGGGTTTTGGGG